ACATTCTCAGTTTCGAGAATAGTTTATTTATTAACCTTAAGATAAGATTTAATTAGAAGCTGAATTTTTTGCTATTTCTCTTTCACTTTTTACATTCAGTTCATTTTATTTGCTGGAAAGGAAGCCTTAGAAATTAAAAGGACGTTTGATCAATTCACACGCGCGCATTCTAGTCTTATGTTAAACTTTATAGCGGAAAGACATCTGTGAGCAGGGAATAAGTCAGCACAGAATTTGATGGTCGGCGAATTTCTGTAATCGTCCATCGTTCTGCTAGTGAGAAGCTAGCCGTTGTTCACTCGTCTTGCTTGTTTGGGGCTGAGCCTTATTCCGATCAAAGAGAGAGAAAGAGTGTCTGGCAAGGTTTCCAATGAAAGATTTCTGAACTTCTGTCTGGCAAACTCTCCAGGTGTTTATATATACACAGTTATACGCACCTTATAACTTCTTCTGCGCCTAACGAGTGTCGTTAAAATTTTGGTCCATAACTTTCACTGAAACAACTGCTCCACAGAATGTCACTGATAACACGTAACGCAAACGAGTGTCGAAGTATGAATGCACAATAAATGTCACAAAATCTACCTAAGCGGTCCCTTGGGGATGTTCTGTCTTTACGTCATCCTAACCATTTCGTACTTGCGGGCGCAAACAATAGACCTACCGATTCCTCGCGGCCCCTGTTCAAGCAAATCGAATTTTTTTCTTTATTGACTGTATGACTGTATGTTTCAACTGTAAGTACTTTTCCAAAGGAGCTGTTTTATCGCCAGAGAAGCGTGATTTACGGTATTGTTGACGAAGTTTGCGTTTATTGTGACTTTTGCAGAGTTCTTGGTCCTGTATAGTAAGCAATCCTTTAATAAATGTCTTATCAATTTGTCTTGTCCCGCTGGCCGGTATTAACGAAGAAAGAAGTACCGTCCAACGGGACTTTCTAAATTATAGCAACATTTGTTGGCATGTACATCACCTCTAGCTTTCATTGCTAAACTGTGTTGTAGAACTTGATTTCTGTAGGTTTCTAAATCACGCTTCTCTGGCGATAAAACGGCTCCTTTGGCTGTCAGTTTTCACCACACTTGAGCCGCCATATTGGATGTTTTCGAGAATTTCCGATGACAGCCCGAATCGGAAACTCGTTCCTAGTACTCCTCGGCTGTCCTTTTAGCCATAACCCCCACATCGTCCACAATGCGCGGCCATCTTGCTCTTTGCTGAAATGTAAATCCCCGGTGGATGCACGTGTCTGCTGCTTAAAAAAAACATAGACGTTCTACTTTTCTACGACTTTGTCCCTGAGATCTACAAAAAAAAAACAACGACAACAACAACACAGAAATAAATGGGATGAAATTTAAGCGGGGTTGTTTTGACAAAATAGACTGAAACACATGGATTCCGGATTCGGATGTAAATGAAAACAAACGGTTGCAAATAGGTAGCACTGGCTCCTTCTCAGGTGTTTTACTTTTCTTTCTTTCTTTTTTCTCTCTTTTTTTGGCTTTATTTAAAATTGTGAATTAGTTGCGTCAATGACGGTAGAAGAGCTTTATTTTTTTTTCTTATCATTATGACTTGGCAACTGAGTCAAACTAAAAGACGCCATCGCAGGTTTTTGTCAAAACTACGAACTGTTTTATATATCAACTGTGTCTTTTGGGCAAATCAAGCCAGAAAAGATCGTTTTGGGATTTTTTGGGTAGAAAAAGAACGATTTTTAGACCAGAAAAGTGAAGTTTTAATAAAAGTACAAATCATCAAAGTTTTCCCAAGGGGTTAGTGAAGCAAAAATTTGAACTTTTTATCAAATTTTGGAGGAGGCAAATCAAGCCAGAAAAGCTCGTTTCTGGATAGTCTGGATAGAGAGCACACGTTTTAGACCTGAAAAGTAAAACTTTAAAAAAGTCCAAAAAATCGAAATTTTTCCAAGGGGTAGGTCCACACTTTTTGTCAAAAATTCGAACTTTTAATCATCTGAGTGTTTTGGGCAAATCAAGCCAGAAAAGATCGTTTTAAGATATACTGGATAAAATACAATGCTTGTTAGACCAGAAAATTAAGTCTTAAAAAAAGTCCAAATAATTGAAATTTTCCCAAGAGGTTAGTCCATGGTTTTAGTCAAAAATTCGAACTTTTTATCAACTGTGTTTTTTGGGCAAATCAAGCCAGAACAGATCGTTTTTGGAAAGTCTGGATATATAACAACGTTTTTAAGACCAGAAAAGTGAAGTTTTAAAAAAGCCCCAAAAATGAAACTCCCAAAGGGGCTAGTCTATTGTGTTTGTCAAGAATTCGTACTTTCTGGGCAAATCAAGCCAGAAAAGATCGTTTTTGGATAGTCTGGATATATAACAATGTTTTTAAGACCAGAAAATTGAAGTTTTAAAAAAGCCCAAAAAATAAAACTTTCCAAAGGGGTTAATTAGTGCATTGTCTTTGTCAAAAATTCCATGTTTTTATCAACTATGTTTTTTTGGCACATCAAACCAGAAAAGATCCTTTTTGGATGTTTTGGATAGAAAAGAACGCTTTTTAGACTAGAAAAGTAAAGTTTTAATAAAATCCAATAAATTGAATTTTCACAAAGGGTTAGTCCACGCTTTTTGTCAAAAATTCGATTTTTTTGTCAACTGTGTTTTGGGGCAAATGAAGCCTGGAAAGATCGTTTTTTGATAGTCTGGATTAAAAACAACGCTTTTTAGACCAGAACTGAAAGTGAAGTTTTAAAAAAGTCCAAGAATCGAAATTTTTCGAAGAGATTAGTCCATTGTTTTTGTCAAAAAATTGAACTTTTTTTCATCTCTGTGTTTTGGGCAAATAAGCCAGTAAAGATTGTTGTTGGATATTTTGGATAGACAAGAAACTTTTCAGATCAGAAAAATTTTAAAAAAGTGCAAAGAATCGAAATTTTCTCAAGGGGTTAGTCCTTTCTTTTTGCCAGATAACTTGCTTATGCATAAGGGCAAAATGAACTGTTTATTATTTGGCACTGGTCCCAAGCTAGCACTTTCTACTTCTTTTTTCTGAGAACTATTGAAGGAAAAGTACTTAATCGCGCTTCTGAGAATAAATATCTTGGGGTTGTTCTCGATCCGTCGCTGACGTGGAATGCGCACGTTGATTACTTAGTCGGTAACGTTAGGCAGAGAGTAGCATTGTTATAGGCCCAATAATGAAAAACATAAACATTTACATGACAGATACCATTTATACGTCTTTTTTTCTCCTAACTAAAGAGTCTTGATTACTGCGACGCTGAGTGTGGCTACTGCGGGAGCGTTAACGCTGATAGGTTGGAGAAATTGCAAAGCTAGGCGCGGAGCACGTTATGTGTCTGAGGAGCAGCGAAAAAGAGCTAACTTTCTTGGGTTACGTAGCTCTGGATTAAAGACGTGGGAGCCATGTACGCAATCTAGTTTGGAAATGCTTACGCAACCATTGTCCACAGTTTTTATGCACTATTTGGCCAGGAGAACAAGGAGCAGTGCTTAACTTATACTCCAGTCTATAGAATTAGAATGTACGAAAAGAAAAAATAACCTTTTATCCTGATTCTGTAATTTTTATTCAGATTGAGATTTTATGATTTCTCTAGTAATTTGATTTTCAAGTCTTTTGTATTGCTTTTTCTATTTATATTTGCACTTAATTATCACTATTATTTCTTTTCTATTTCGTTTATCACGTAGGGTGTATATGGAAAGGATTTTTTTATACTGTGCAAAAACTGAAGGAGTTACCCTATGAAAAATAAGGTTTCCATCTATCTAACCTGTAAAACGAGTGAAATGCTCCGCCACTAGCTTTGTATTCACTACCAAAACAACTCAACTTCGTCTCCAGATCTTCTCGTTTACCCGTTTGATTATCTGGCAACATCGTCATGAGTTCTCATTATTGAAAATTCCTCAAAATTTGGTCGATGGTTATAATGAAATATTCTTGGGATCAGTTTTAGCCAATCAGAAACGGAGGAACATTTTGAATGAATAATAAGGAGTACTATCCACCCACTACCCACCCCTTTCCAGCCTCAGGTTGGCTGTTACTGGGCAGAAAGGTATGAAAAAACATTTATTTCAGTTTTTTTGTTCGAAATAAACTAATAGGGCTGGGCTTCGGACGTTTTAAATAATTTAGAAATTAATGCTTTATTAACCATTAACCTGTTTTCATTGTTAAGTTCGTGCAAAGATCCTGTTCTTTGCCGAAACAGAACTCCATATTTACCATTTTATAACTAATAGAAGTACTGGTTTTCTTTGTAAGTCCACATCTAGGTAGTAATCGAACACTAAGCATTCACAAAAACCGTCGCGTGTTAAACTAAGACCATTGCAGGCTACTATTGTTAGCACTTTTCTGCAGGGAGGGGTTTCGGAGCTTCAATCTTCTGGAGCGGACCAATACTCACGGTCTTGAAGTAACTAGATAGCCACGGAAGAAATGGTAGGCACTGAACAAAGGTTCTAAATACTACTTAATTGCCATATTTACACTCCGGCCTCTATCGCAAGAAATCTGTATACGAGACACAGTGGGTGAACAACACACTGCCATTTCTGGAGTATTAGTAGTCTGTTGCATTTTCATGCAAGGTTAAAAGTTATTAAAGCCTATATGATTTTGAGAGTCCATCATTGCATCCCTTACTTATTTACAGGGTACTTAAAACGCATTTAGAGTCTAAGGGCCGGTTATTTAAATTAAGTCTAACGGGGTTTAAGAAATCTTTGGACCTTCAGATCTCTTCCTAAGTGGTTTAATTTAAGAAGGTAAATGCTCGTCTACTCTACACTATATGCTTTAATGAACTGTCCACGACAAATGGTGTTTAGCTGAAAGGTTAGCGTTGGACATACTGAAAATGACTTAGAGCGCGGTTTTGCTAAAGATCCCGTTTACATAACCGGCCCGTATTTAGAATCTTCGGTATTGACCTGACTTGCTCACTTATTTTGCAATTTATATAAATACACATTGTTAACTGGCGGGTTTTATAATTCTGACCCAAGCCACCACTGTGTAGTAGACGAAGCGTTTACCGTGCACCTGTGTTTTGGATTGGTAACAGCATAAAAACCGAAATTATCTTCTCCTGATTTTGCTCCTGTCCCGGGATCCCACTGACAGCCATTTCTTCCGCTCCAGTAAGAATCTGTATGCATATGTTGACTGTTTCTTTGAACCAACATCCCTATACAATCCGTACAGTTTATTCCTCGCACTGAAACATATTCATACCTCTTGCATTTGTCCTGATTGACAAACGTTAGGAGATCTGTTTCATTGAGCGAAGAGCGTGCGTAGTCGGTATAACTGAGGCCTGATGGGAAGGTACAAGTCACACGCCAGTGCGTTGAGTTATCCCGGATGTTAACCAAGGCTTGGTATGAAAGCCTAAAGTCGTCCCATGTGAAGTTGTTCTCGTTTCGAGGAAAATCGTGATAAAATGGTTTGTTCTTATATATGTCTTTGTTTGAAAGCGAAAAGGATTCTATGAGAGTCCAAGCTTTACCAGCCTCAGAGGTAAAGTCACAATAACTCTGCACGGTTTTATTATCACTTATAACAAGTTCGTAAACACCGGAATGCGATCCCGGCCTAAATATCTTGAGACCTTGGCACGACCTGACTTCTGGATAAAACTGCTCGCATCGTTTTCCCTTGTAATATTTTGAGCATGTGCAAGTGTAAGGCTCTCTGACGTCACTGCATTTCTCCTCACAGGTTCCGCCGTTAAGACAGGGCTTTGATCTGCAGCATCCGTTAACACAGCTTTGGTTCACCTAGCAATATAATTCAGATAATAATAATTAAAGTGTAGTCAAACAGGATACCTTTTCGCATTTACGAATTAAGTTTTAGTTGTGGACGCAAATTTGTCTTCTTACACCTAACTTTTGCACTCAAATTTAGCGAGCGATTCCTTTAATCAACCGATCTCCCGATCATCCCTCGGACAAAGTCATCCAGTGGCTGATTCCTTGTGAGTATCTAAATTCCACAAAACAATGACTGATTTTGCTAACAATATTGCGTTTGTAGCAGTAAGAATTTAGTGAGAATACATCTTTTAATCAGCGTCTGTTTCATCAAATTTTGCTTCCCTTAGCGAAGGAGCGCAATAAAGCCGTGCCGTTGTCATGAAATCGAATTTAGTCTATAATCACAAAACACGGAATACCTTTGCATGTCACCAAACTCAAAGCTACAAATCTTAAGTCTGGCGATGGGCTCTGGGCAGTTCATTACTCACTAGTAGCTCTACTTGTCATATGTGGCGTAGCTATATGTTCCAATCATCAACGACACAATCTTACCTGTATACTATCTTGATTCATAGTGTATAAAGCAGTGCCTGGTCTAGTTACCAGGTCCCCAACCACGACATCTTTATCTGCATCCAATAATTCACATTTCCACCCAGTCAATTGAAATGCTACACAACCACAAACCTTTGCGCAATGGCGGAAGCAATCAACTTGACTTGATACATTCATAGAACGAATAGTGTGCCCTAATATGGCGAAGTTATCCGTGAACATGTTGTACATGTACAGTAGCTGTGTTGCATGTTGATTGTCCTTTGCTCTCATAGAACGTGAAAGGAGAAGAGTTCCCCATATGACCAAAAATAGAGACCCAGTGCTTGAAGCCATTTTTGACTGAAAGAAGAAAGAATCAGACTGGACACGCGGCTACCAATACCTGGATATTTAGGTGGCACATGAGGTTTTACGGACTGGAAGTAGTAAACCAAGGAAGGCTCTGTCGATCAAAGAAGTGACACTTTGCAAATCTTACGACACAAAATAAATCAGAAAGGTTTAATTCTGAATTTCAAGTCACAACGAGTTATCATTGGCTATGTGTTGTCTGAACCTGGGACTTATAACTGCTGTCTTGATTACCTTAACCTCTAAACGTCAAATATCCTGTCAAAATTGGTGAAAAGAATGACTCATACAACTACAAAAATCCAGTTTTTTTAAAAGCTTCTATTAATAAAACGAAAACGGCCAAGACTAAAAAAAAAGAAAAAAACTAGCGATGTCGCACGTTGTGTTAGAAACTAGATGATTATTCCCGTTGGAGAGATATTGTTGACTTATTCTGATGTCTTATATATTCAAAATGACTTACGTTAATAATCTCGAAAAAAAAAGGGTAATTGCTTATGAAGCGGCAGCTGCACCCAATATAATTGTTTTGTTTCAAACTGAATTTTTCTTTTCTTCATCTCTTCTTTGCTTTTGGCTCTTTATCTTTATTACACAACAAGTTATCAGCTTGTTTGATCGGTTGGTACGCACTCGTGACGGTTTTGACAAAATGATTTCGAAAGAAGTGATTTTTTAACGAAAGACTAATTTATTACCTATGGGGCATTAAAAAACCATGAACCAATGTCCAAACGCCACTTCTTTTCGCAACAGGATGCCAATTTTATATCAGTGGGAAAAACAAAGTGATTGAGGCAATTCTCGTGAATGGAGAAACCAGAGTTGCGGTAAACAGTATCAGTAAAGGGGAAAAAGTCGCAATATTATACCAGTTCTATGTCACTGTAGAAAGGATGTTGTGTTCTTGGATAAGGTTCAAACAAGCGTAAGCGGTGGAGCAATGGGAAACTCCAAAGCAAACGCTTTAACCAAAGGCATTGAAGACGATTCAAATGTATTGCAGAACTTGAAATTGGAACTGTAGATAACTATGCCTACAGACGGTAATAAGGCAAATGAATGTGATTAACTTACAGAGTTCAACTGGGGAACTCTGCTCAATCATCATACCATGGCCACTCTGCAAGATTGAAAAAAGTAAAGAGATATTCGGAAATATTTTTCTATTTCAAATAACGACGCTAATTACCCTATTTTTTTATGACAGACCAGTCTTTTCTATTCTCTGATTCTAATTTTGAAGCTTCCTGTGTGCACGTCGATCTCTCAAAGACCGCAATATGAATAATCATCTTTATGAACGGCCTATACACGTTCGCGGCTTTGTTCATTGAAAAATTGTTTAAGCAAAAACGTAACTCGCAAAACGTTAAAGGGAATGTGTACAACTTACCTCTGACCTTGAAACAGCAGCTTTTCAGCGAGTCTCAGTTGTTCGTGTGTCAATAAATTTCATGTCTTCTGCAACCTATACAAGTCAGTCGATGATTGTTTTTTGTGCTGGATTTAGAAAAGACCGCCGCGTCACGAAGACAGATTCACTCGTTGTTGTTGTTTTTTTCTCAACACACAGCACATGACTCCTTCATAAGACGAAAAATAGGCAAAGCCAAACTTTCGGTTTACCACTCTTGTACATAAATGATAAATGAATCCATACATGATACTTTTCAATACCGTTCAAATTAGGGGGCAGGTGTTTGGGTCTGTTTGTTTCGGTTTCAAAAAAATGCAGGTGTTCAACATAATTAAAAATTAACACCGACAAAAACAAAAATCGGCTCAAGGCAACTGAAGCCAATGTCGAGTGAGATTTTTCAGTGTCAGCAAAGTGTTGGCCGTATCGTGTAATCTTTATTTCATTCGGCTCAACAATTTTCTTTTCAACATCTTTCCCCGCCCTTTTTTAGCTAAATTTGAAAATGTAGTGCTAAAGATGTAACAGCCTTAGAGCAAGTGACCACGGTCTGGTCATTATTTCTGGACAGTATTTCGAACACGCACCCAGTTCTATCTGTCGCGGGGCAGCAGGAGGACAGCTCAGGGTGTCCAGTGGCATGGTTGTTCAAAAAAATAGGAAAATAGGAAACTTTGTACTCAAAAATAGGAGAAAAATAGGAAAATCAATAGTAGTTTCATCGACAAAGATAGCCTCCCTGCACCCCATCAGGGCTATAATAAAGGCTACGAATCCTCAGCTTCTATGTTTGCAGGATTTAGATCAACTTTCGCAGCTTAGAAGGAGTGAAAATGATCAGTGATGTTTAGTTTATTGGCTCAGTTACCCTGTAATCAGAATGGTATGCTTGACTACAGGTCGAGCGTAGTTCTACAATCAAAGGTGATCACATGCAAATTCCCTTCAAGTTGGCAGCAAATCTTTGAAAAGCTTTGAAGAGTGAAATTTTTTACGATTGCGTTGTCATTGAAGGATATCGAACCAGGACTATTGGTAGCTGGTTGAGAATATGCTTGTTTGAGTCAAAAGACAGCATAGTTTTAAGTACAGAATCAGGCTTTCCACGGTGTTTGAAAATAACACTGATCTATTTGGTACTAGATTGTAAGTGTGTCATGGTTAAGTTCTAATAAGAAGGTAACACTCTGCTTAGCTATGACTGCAAGACCAGTTTCGCAACCAAAATATTGGATACTTTGTCAGTTGCTTAGGTATAGCTGTTAACAAGGGCTCACCCAGAGAGCTAGTGCCGTAAACTAAACTTGAGTCTGTTCTTTTCATGTAGCATGTAGAATCAAGCTAGTGATTGTTTTTGTAAACAAGAAGCTGATTGGATGATTTTTCTGACCTGTGTTGTGAGAGGACAACTTGGTCCTGTTTTCAGTTTCAAAGATGAACACAAAAGCAAGCAAGACTTCAAAATAAAATATAATATGTACAGATACTGAAATGCCGTTTTGGTGGGCTATGCACAATATTATCCAATGGTCATGAGAACTATAACACTACATACAATACATGTAGGTACACAAGAAAATTATACACAAAGTAAAAATATAACAAAGTTGTTAACAGAACTCTAATAGGCAATAGAGGTCATGGAAAGAACAAATGTAACTATTGTTTTTGCTAATATTAGAGCATCAAAGTCAACATACTACTTGCTTTATGATAAATCTCACTCTAAGGACACATACATCTAAACATCCCAGTTTCAATTTTGTTACAAATTTTGGCTTCACCAGCTCAAAAATAGGAAAAATAGGAGGTTTTTGTTAAAAAATAGGAGAAAATAGGAATAGGCTCAAAAAATAGGAAAAAATAGGAAAAAATAGGAACTGGACACCCTGCAGCTCTGTCTCTTCACCAAACACAGCTCTCTTAGATATTAAAGTCAATTTTTATTTCGCATGGTACTCAGTTTTTCTATGAAAATCCAATGTTAATAATGCAAAACGCAAAACAATGATACGCAATTGGACGGGTAGGAGAGAACCCTGGGAACGAGGTTGAATGATGCGAGGCAGAATTCGCCAATAAGATCCTCAATGCCCTGTTACAAAGTAAATTTTAACTTGACTTTTAATGTTCTTGCCAAGAGCTTGTAGTATGTAACTCTGGATTGAAATAGGTGTATCGCTTAGATTAAGTCACACTTGGGGCAAATTTCCACGGTCTCTTCCTCACTAAACTGAATCCAGTCTTCAAATTTACTTCTAAATTTATATTTGATACATGTGATAAGCGAGAAATATGGAAAATTACGACAAGGAAATATAATACAGTTTTCAGGATAAACACAGAAAACCATTATTACAGTTTTAGACAAATAAAGGTAGGCAGACACACAGTCACAATGAAGTTTTTGACATACTCAAAAATGCCTTTGTCAGACATTAATAGCCAGTAAATCTGTTGGTGTATTATGCGAGCTTTCGCTTTGGAATTTTGAAGTTGAAGGTTCCTCAACAATAACCTGAGGAAATTCTTCCATTTGCTCCTGGCAATTCAGTAAAACGTCCGGCTCAATGTTGATAAGTTCTTTAAGAATCGAAACGAGGATTGGTCTTGATATAATTGTTTGTTTGGCCGTCGCAAGTCCAAAACAAGCGGCACAAACGGAGGCTGCAGCCAGCATGGACGGCGTATACATAAGAAACTTCTCATCTGTACAGCACAAACTGATGAAAGTTGCGGCACGCCTTCGGATCACGCTGACGTTGGGAAGAGAAAGTCGGGCACAGATCTTTTCCAGAAAATCATAGGGAGTAATTGCAAACAGGTCCCATTTAAGGTTTTCGAGAACTAGAATTTCCCAATCCAACAATTCTTGACAAGTGATCGAGTTATCTGTATAAATGCACAGTGTTTTAGCTGAGAACTGTATATCCTCTTTAAGCTTGCTGGCGATAAACATACAAACAGCACCAAGCAATTGAAGGTTGCATTTTCCTATTGGCACAACCGATAAAAATCGGTCTAAATAGTTCACCGCCAAAGGAAAAACTTCTTCCTCGCAATTTTGCTCCTCGCAAACTTCATTCATCCATGTTGTTACCATGCGCCTCATGTATGGCTTAATCTCCTTCTGTACAACGTTGAAGTATCGACAATTGGGGATACATTTCTCCTCGCAGATAAGTAGATTCCGAAGAACGCGATCGTCTTCAACCAGAGCCAGGTTCTGATGCGCATCCATGCCCCTTGGTCCCACTTCTGAGGTACAGGCTGCTCAAAAATAAAATGTTAAACTTAAAGATGCGAAGGGAAATAAAGTCTTAACAAGACAGAGTAAAAAGCACTGTTCGCGATGCTGTCTGAGAATGGAGCAGTCTGGTACATTTCAGTGCCCTTAAGTTGTATTATTATTCATTCAAAATATTTCCCCGATTCTGATTGGCTAAAAGCACACGTTTAATTCACCATAACCAGTTACTGACGACCAAATTTGGAAGAATTTTGACTTTAACGGGTAAATGACGTCAAAAATGCAGCGTTTTCGCAGGTTAAGGCACCGTTAACCGAGAAGACCTGGGGACGAGGTTGAGTTGTTTTAGTGTGAACTTGAAAAAATGGCGCACATTTCACTCGTTTCAAGAGTAAGAACTAGGCGAAAAAATAGCTAAAAACATGGCAAGAACAGCAAGAAAACAACCCGAAGGGCGACATCTGCTATTTGGAGGACATTTGCGGAGCTGGACAAACCTAAACGTACACTATCGAAGATGAACTGAACATCGATGGATCGATGGAGGTAAGCATGTTTTAGCTATGTTTTAAACTAGGAATTATTTTGAATGAATAATAAAAGAGTTATTGAATTCGGCTTTCGTATCATATAAAGAATTATGGAGATCTCGGAGGGTGTTATCCGCCTCGGGCTACGGCCTCGACGGATAACACCCTCCTCGATCTCCATAATTCTTCATAAGATACTCAGCCTCATTCATTAACTGTTAATTATAGTTTACGATAGCTTAATGATATATTATCTTTTATAAAATAACTAACTAAAGATAGTACGCGCGCTCTGATTGGCCGAGAGGAGTGTTTGCATGAGAGTATGTAAACATGGTTGTGGCGTCAAGTTGTTTGGCTTTTCGCGCGCTAATCACGCAAGCACGAATTTGAAAAAGTTTTCGAGTTCAAAACCCGACAAGTTTACTTTATTTACTCATTCCTTCGTCGGCTGAAACATGGAAAATCGTTACAAAGAAGGTGAGTCAATTTTTCTTCGCTTAAGCTGAAATTTTAAGCGAGAAAAATCCGTATTTTGCAAAGCATCTTTTTGCAAAACAAGAACTGATTACGCGTGCAAGACTTCGTGGACAAGATTTTGCGACTGGTAAGAATGTCTCTTTTAATCAGTGCTATACAAAGAGTTTTGCGTTTTTTTCTAGGGAACGTTATTTTATAAAAGTAATAGAAAACTGTTTTCCTGTGTTTGCATAGCCTGATATAAACACTCGAGGCGTTGGGAGAATTCTCGACGGTTATGCAAACCCTCGACTTCGTCGAAAACAAACACGGAAAACGTTTTCTATTGCTTAAAATGAAAACGGAAAACTGCTAAACAGATGTATGTCGGGGTCTATAGAACTGCTTGTTTTAGGCAGTGGGAGGATGTTTATTTTCTCGAGATTTTCTTCAAATACAGTGTGTACCAGTCGTCATGAATCACGTTGTATTTTTGCTATTCTGAGTATACTTTTAGGCGGGCATTTGTTTTTCGCATTACGTGTGAAATCTTTAACCATTTTCTCCAGTTTTGCCAAAACAGCTAATTTACCGCGCCTTCTGCTGTACCTTTTCGGGATATCAGCAAACATTTTCTAACTTTGGTTAACGCTACCTCGCTACCTTAACTGAGGGAACAAACAGTCGAACCGGAGAAAGATTTTGAATGAATGATATTTCAGGAGAGAAAAGTGATTACTTTTTTACTTTCCTAGTTCTGTCAGTTGCAAACAAATAATGCTATAGAGTAAACATTACTGTCAAATGTTGTGATGAATAATTTAAAAGCTAACTTAGACGCTACGATTTACAGGCCCGATTTTGTACATATAACTGACAGAAAAAAAAGAAATTTGCATTTGTTTGCAATGCTTTAAAGTAAGTATTTTAAGGGAGCTTCCCTTTTAGGCTTGGCTAAATGTATATACTAATTTCTTGTAATTTTCTTTAAGTTGTATTTTGTTAAATATACAGTACTAAATAATTTTATGCAGTTGTTATTTACTAAGCAAGAAGCTCCTGAATATAACAGGAAAAAAAGAGATGATTTTGTTCATATCCGTAACCTTGAGTTTTAGCAACTTAATATCATGTTTTCGTTCAAGCTTGCTCAAATTTCTTTTTTCTATGTAAGTTATACATGAAATACGTATTTGAAATTTTATACAAAAACTCATTAATTGAGGCTACGCTATATAAATAAATGATAAATAATGATGATGATTTAACTGTCAAACCCTCGAGCAGTGCTTACCTGCTGTCGAATCCAAACACCTGTCTGATTTTTGGCCTTTCTCTGAACTGCCACAAAATAGATCCAACTGCTAACAAAAATGAAATACACTGGTCAGCTTGTTTTGATTCTGAGATGAACCTTTTAATTCCTCATGGTGATACACCGGTTTAATACGGTCATTGCGTTTCAGCAATTTTGAAAGTTGTGTAAGAGAAACAGAACGAAGGTTACAGCTATTTCGAGAGAGGTTGTCGGATAAAGTGCACGCGACAACCCCGAAAGGTATTGTGGGTGGTTTGGAGTTCACTGTTTTTCAAAGAAATTTGAAAGAATGCCAGGAGAGGCCGTGGATATATGTCTGCGAGTCCTAAAGGAAAGCAACAAAAGTAGGTTTGACAGCTACAGTGCATTGAACATATCCCATATTACCTTTCAGGATTGTCGCGTGCACATTTTTTCCGACAACCTTTCTTGAAATAGCTGTATATAAAGGTTAAAACGGTCTTAAACCTCCAGTAGATAAACGTTTTACCTGTATGACACAGCTGATAAAATGAATGACGCTTGAGAAATAAAAACAACACTTATTAAAAATGTACCTGCCACTTTGTTTGATGAGCGCACATCAGGAACTAGCCAAATCAAGCTGGAGCTGTTTAAGAGCTGAACAAGCATGCTTGACTTGTGATGTGATTCGTCTCAAAAGAGATAGTTGTTCCTATCTTTGAATGGTAATTTAGAATATACTAAAAAAATACTTTAAAAAAACCGCTTGATTAGGGTGTCATTGAATTTAGCAAGAGAGTAACGATTGTGAACAGTGTTTTTTCGTCTTCTACTACGAACCCCAAAACTAAGTGATCATCCCAGCCACGTAAAGGTCAATTAACCTTTGAAGGACAAAGGCAGTACCCTCACTTCCCAGTTACTTTTAAGGATTTTGAGTATTGATCCGTGTTTCGGGATTCGAACCTTCTAACCGTCCAATAGTCCAGTGTTCTACGACGGAACAACTATTCCCTTCTCTGAATTTTGCTTAAATAGTATCCTAAGTATCACCGACATTTCCGAATACCCGCGTCAAGTACTCACGTGAATTGGGTCTTTAAGGTGTGTTCCAGTGGCGACCTCTGTGTTCTTTAAAGAAGTGGTAGTGGAATCATTGTCATGTGCTGCGTTGACTTCACACAAAGTCGATAACCAAATATCACCTTGTCCAAGATCTTGAATTTTAGGCTCACCATTTGCATAACCCGGGTCATGGTTTTCAGTGTCCCTGGCACCAGAAACATCTTTAGAAAAATAAAAGTTCAACAGAAATTAAATCCTTGAAAATTACCAAAAAGCGAGATCATGACTAGAGAAGTTATATCTTCCTTAACCCATTCGCTCCTAGAGAGTTTGCCGAAAAACGCGTTTTGAAGCTAGTCGAGTGGTTTTCTGGTCACTGTCCTGCTATAAAGAGCTAAAACTTACCACAAACCGGTTTACAGGTCGTACACTTGGCGGCCTTCTGATCCAGATGCAAAGTCAGCTTGCGGAGTTTGGGCATGCACAGAAAGCAAAATTGACTTTTACTTTTCGCTTTCTCTCCTCCCCTCTTTTTTTCGGTTTTCTTGCCTCATTTTTTTCTTCTCTTGCTGGGCATTTAGTAGGCTTCGTTTTGGTGGAAAGAGTTTTTAGGAAAGCTTTTAGGATCTTAGGATTAGGTGAAAGGAAAGGTAGGTGAGCAATAGAACAAGATTTTCATGAAGATTTTCAGGTCAATGTCACATGGTTTTTTGCTTCTTTCTCCGCTGTCCTTGACTAAATTGTGCTCATTCTGGTATGGTTTGAAAGATCTCTTCACTCTGCCCAAGTTAGCAGACAAAGTTGTCCTTCACCGTTAAAACTGATGACGTCACAAAGGGTAGAAAGGACGTGGATCCGCACGGGCGGTTACAGGCGGCTCAGGGGCGAAGTAAAGTTGAACCTATTCAGTAAATTTTTTAAAGCATTTTGCCTGCTCCGCACAGGATAGTCACGATGCCACAGGGAACTAACAATCAATTTCTAGGGTGGCTTAAATGGATTTTAGTTAGGTACCTCTTAACTACAAAGTCGAGTGAAATACGTAATGGCGGCATTACATTGCCATGGCCACACTGATGTAAAAAAAAAAAAAGAAAAGAAAAACCTGACGGATCATGCTTAATTTTCATCTTTACGTAATATAGCTGAAGTGACCTTTTTCAGATACCTTTGATGATGGCGAGTAGTTAATGCTCAAACTTGGGAGGAATCACACCTAAAAATCCATCGGAGTCACCTTTAATCAGACATGGGTGGAGGGGGGCGAGAGGGACCTGCGGTTATTACACACGTAAAGTGGAGGAAGGGTTACCTACCCTTGTTTTCTGAAATTTTAGGCCATGATAAGTCACTGTCCAAGGATGTACATGAAGATGTTTCAGCATCAGCAAAATAATCACTTGAGCCAGCGTCATCTTCATCAGACTGGTCAACTCGTGCTATTGACTCATCAGTTGCCGCTGAGAGAAAATTGAGACAAGTGAAATAACAAATCATTAACGATGCACTTTTGCAATGGTTGCCAAGAACTATTTACTAAAACAGCTGGGAAACTGCATTTTTAACACTGCAGAATATAATGCAAAGACTTTAAATACAAAAAAGCAACTATTCCTTCCAAGATTGTTTGCTTTACGGGTTAACTATATTCTAGGTTCACTTTCTTTTATACTTTATAAAACACGAATGTAAAGTAAAACTCAGCCTGAGAAAACAGCCGGCATTTCGCGACACCTTCACTGGTTTCCCCGCGAAATGACGTCTAAGAAACGAGTGCAGAAATTCCACACTGATGACGCGTCAGTACCCAGATCTGGGTAGTACGTCAGATTGGCTTCAGGAGAATTTGCTTCAACCAATCAGAACCACTACACTAATCTGGGTAGTGACACGTAATCAGTACGGAATTTCTGCACCCGTTTCTCAGACGTCGTTTCGTGGTGAAATCAGTGAAGGCGTCGCGAAATTTCGGCTGCTATTCTCAGGCTAAGTAAAACTCTAACGTTGTAACTGAAACCCTTTGAGCTAGTGGTGTAAGATTTGTAGTTTGTGAACGAGAATTAAAGGAAACAGACAAAAAGGAAAAATAAAGTATCAATAAGCATGGAAACAATGAATTTGAACAAGAAGGAGAATGTTGTAAACTTTTACTTACAAGATTGTTTTTGCACTGCTTCTACAAGTTCTGACCAGTCAATTGCCCTGGAGCAAAAATGTTTATCTTGGGACAACCTGTAAGTACATGTACAATTTCACAGAAACGTTAAAACGTGGCTCACATCTCTAGCAAGTATTTTTTCACAAACAGTGAACAGTTGAAAAATATTAGTAGTTTAGTTTAGTGTAGTTTAGCTCACCAATAGCCAACTGCAAATTAGGAAATTTGAGGCCAAAGACCTCGATAGAGCCCTTATCCCCTTCCCCACAATAGGACACTTAAAATTTACTTTACCCCCTCTCTAATAATTGCTTCTTAAAATTGCCACGATTTGATTTGTTTCGCTGAGTAGAAGAATGTAAAATGAATGCAAAATGTTATTTTCTGTTGTTCCAATTTCTTAGACAAGCCTCGATACACGAGGGTGACAGTGAAATAACAAAGTGACCGCTTGGATACCAACATGAAATTTTACACATTACCTGGTGTATACATCGTGTAAGTACTGAGCTAATTCGTCATGGCCATTTGCTCGAGCAATATCTTCAGGCAATGGTGTTCTGTCCTTGTAGGAGTTAAAGAAAACCTGCCCAGCCGAAGTACTGAAGACCATTTCCATAAATTCTTGAGCATTTGTCTGCGCTGCTTTGTAAACCATCAGTTGAAGAAATTTAACTGATTGTTGTTGTTTTGATAGATTTGAAGAATCTGGAATAGTAAAAGAACGTTAAAGAAAATTATCATAATATGATTAGTGAAGGAGTCCGGGGGGAAGGGGAGTCTAACAGGAGATAAAATTGTTAAGAACTTAGAGATATTTTGACCAAATTGTAAAACAATTATCATTATTGCTGATCCGCAAGGTACTTCAAGTACACTAGAAGACTATCTGGCTGTCTTACCATGGTCGGGCACATTTTCTAGTCCTTGGACTTGTGAAATGCTGCTGCCACTTGTAACGTTCCCAAAGGCAAACTCTGTCGACAACATGGCAAAATACCTGGCTTGCAGCAAACGATCTTTCACTAGCTGTTTGAGCAAGTCTTCCATATCGTCTACGTATTTAAAAAATGTAAATCCGAGGTCTTGACCAGAATCTGTGATGACAGTAACTGTTACCTCGCCAGGCGCTTGAGAGCCTGAATGCGAAAAAGGCATAGTCTTGAAAATATCAAATAACACTAAGACACATGAGCAAACACTTATGCCATGCACCATGCTTAACTTAATTCCTTTTGCAGCCCCCACAGATAAAGTTCTTGAGTGTTCAGTGAGGAGAAATTGCTGTCTTTGTAATGACATCTGCAAACGGTTAGACTTTTCAGCCTTTCGGACAAGAAAAATAAATTGTAGGCCCTGTTTTACAACCCCTGCACATGTAATAAATTCCGTGGCTTTTACAAATAATAACATATTAAGAAACAATAATACATGCAATTACTGGGCTGCCACAGGGCAGAGACTCTGTACATTATGAATTCCTAGGCGGGTAACTGGACTGTAAAGTTTAGTCCAGTCCTTTCCTTGACTACTTTTGTTGTAGTTAGTACGTTTTTACTTTTACTTACCAGGGACAATTCCAGACAGGGTGAAGGGGTTTATCTTGTCTACTGTAACAGGCACCCCTCCAAAATCTGCTACTCCCTTCTTAACATTGTCTTTTAACGCCTCAGTCAGGGATATATTGAACTCGAATCCACCCTGCAACAAATATTTGCTTTTGGCATTGAAAATACACTGTGGCAATATACTATACATGCTAAACAAAAAATGCAAGGAATTTTAATTTGATGGAAACGCTAACAAGAGGACAAAGGACGGTTTCAACATTTTATTAAACCAGGAATAAAACTGAACCGCAAGAGCAACGTTACACATTCAAGAACTCCCCACCTTTTAATCCCCACATACACGGGCGACAATTTACTGACGATTGGTGGCTACTTACTTTTTATGATACCACGCAGGAGGCATGCTTAATTTTTTGCTAAGGCTGACGGTAAAATATATATATGACGGACGGGAATCACCTTTACAGATCCAAATGAAGGACAGATGCCTTGAATCTCTACATAGAAAAACAAAAACAAACAAAAAAACTCAGTTTAGTAAACACTGTAGCATTGGTTCTGAGAAAATATCGTAGCTAAGTGTAAAGAAGAATATATAAAAACAAATAAACAAAATGCCTACTCTATTCTCTGAAAGCCTCTGTTGGAACTGCCTGACCAAGTACATGTATACTAAAACGTATATTTCTTAAACCTTCTTAAGATTTGAATTAGTGAATCAAATTTATTTCGATTTCCAATCAAATCAGTTATAGAATACAGGGTGTCCCAAAAGCTCGTTCCTCTAATTCCATGAGCTAAAACTTTTGATCAAAACTTTAATTTTACACTATCGAGTATTGGTATTCAGAAGTTGACTCATTTTCACCTTTTTATCACCTAGTATACAGGAACTACTTCGACCCCCAAACAATATAATTTTTTAGATTAGGCAGCTGAAACAATATATTTTGGGCATCGATCCAGGAAAATATAATCATCCCGGCCCCTTAGTAAGGCTTTTGTACTTCTAAACAAATTTGAGGCGAGCTGAACGTTGCTTGGCGGGCGGAGTAGAGGGTTTTTTTTGCCATCTCAGGGGTCTCCAAATTTTGCTTTTCATGAACCCGCTCTAGACTGAAAATAATTAATAGCGGCTTTATTCAGGACTTTCGGTCTTCCCCCTCGTTTCTTGTCGTTAAAACCTTCAGTTCTCTTACCACCCAACATTCGGAGTTTTCCATATTTGGAAGAATTTCTTTAACTGATAAGCCAGTAGATAGAAATACATGCTTCTGCTCTCACCTAGCTGAGCGTTTTTTCGTTTAGAGAGTTTATCTTTCATGATATTCACAAAAAACAAGGAAGGAGTTCGAACATTTCGGGCTACAAAATACAAAAAATATATGGCGGGAAAATTTACTCGCGCAGCGCACCTTTAGAGAGAAATTACAGAAATCGAATATTCGGACCAAAAGATGGCACAAGAAGTATGAAATATCAAATTAGATTGAAAGTCACTGCTTTTGTTTAATTCATTTGCAGATCAAGTCCAATCGTACTGCGTAAACAGACTTATAAAGTAGAAGAACGAACTTTT